ACCAGCAATTACTAAATTTATGATTTTGCGTGTTTGATTTTTATTACACGAGGTTTATTACACGTGGAAGTCAATCGTGAAGATTAGTTGAGTACGAATTTCATTAAAAAAATTTGTACCCGCCTGCGGGATTCGAACACCGATGCATCGCTAGATACGAATGAACCAGACGTCTTATCCTTTAGGCCACGACAACTTCATTATATTATGTATTTATTTGGTAATACTGAATTTTAGCGTAGACAGCTCATGGTTCGTCTGACGGTGAGCGATTAACGTTATCGACACATACACATCTCAATCGATTTTGAACCGAAGGCTCAATTATTATTTTGAAATAATGGCGTAGGATAGCTATTACTCCAAACAAGAACGTAGGAATGTTTCCTGGCAGAAAAAGACAGGATGGTATGCACCTACACTTTATTAAATAAAAAGATAACAGACAGAACAGATCAAATAGGGGTCTGGACTCTACACATCTCGCCCGAGATGGCCGGGGGTGATCCGAAGTCCACGATCTTGTCTATTTAATGATACACTAGGTAACGAATTAACTAACAAGTGACAACTGACAAGTCACTGAGCAGATGTTGTAGATGAGACAGCTCTCAATAAACGCACACGGTAAGATTTATTCGATCGGGGCTAAATAAATTTCTCTTCTGTCTATGTCAGACATAATCCGAAACATGTAATAAAAAAGTTGTATTATGGCCAAAAAAATATAATTAAAATGGCAAATAAGTATTGTACAGATAGAGTGCCGCAGTCCGGCGGCGGCCACGGTGCGATCAGTGCCTGTGAAATGCGTTACAGGGATCATTACAAAGGTTTTATTACAAATTAAACGAGTAAGCGAGTAGTAAATGTTCCCAAAGGGATTACCGCGATCTGCATCGACTCGTGGGGGCAGGGGCGCTCTACTTAAATAAATACAAAATTCACGGCTGTCAGAGCAATACCGGCAGCGGCGCTAGGGCTGGCAGACCCACTGTTAATTAAATATACATTTTAGCGTGAATGTGATATACATAGTTCATTACTCCTCCCAAAGATTTTTTTAATTTACCTACTCTTTGGTCATAGAAATCAAGTAAATCTAAAATGAACGTTAATAATTAGTTGAAGGGGGCTTAATGTTTAATCTCGTGATAATTGTTTCGATTGTATCGGAGCGCTCGCTGCTCGCTGCTGGGTGGGTGCTGGGTGCTGGTCGACGGTGACGCTGGGGCCGGTGATTACTGTCGCGATAACCAACAAAAATCATGAACATTTAAATTACACGTTACTGATGCGTTCGGTGACACGCATGGCGCCGCTTAGCGCAATGAAAGTCAGGTGTCACTCTAGGTCGACGACCCTGTGTGGCGGACCGCCGGGACCGCAGGAAGCTTTTTGTTTCATGTCATATTCATTTACAAAAAGTACAAGTAAGGTGCTAGTTTTTGCGACTTCCGACTCGAACTTACAATCTATTCCTATGGCTTATGTAATTAATTATTCATATTTGTAGTACAAAATAATTGAGAACATCCCGAGAATAAGAAAAGAAAATATCCCACATTATTATAATAATATATACGAGTATATTATTTGTTTGTTTTATATTTTTCAACTAATTATCCTGCAAATGAAATGAAATACTCTAAGAGTCAAAAAGTTCACCCCTGAGCCGGAGCGTACCTGAGCACAACAGTTCAATGAGTGAACAGTTGATGTCTCATTGTGTGCTCATCGCGGAGATCATCCTCTAACAACAATGTAGCAACAATGCAATCAAAATACTATTACTGCAAATAAATCGTGACGCGGACTGACGTTCTGTACTTCGCTAATACGGTCACAAACTAAATGCAACTTAATCAGCTTACACGTATAGTCGCCTTTTGTGTGTCTGCGTATTAACCTTTGGGGTCAATGTATGTTTTAAACGAATAGTGACCGTATCGAGTTGCGACAGAGTTGTGTTTCGCTCATACACAATGTTAACTGTAGTTCGTATCACGGGGATGTTCCGATGTTTGCACTCGGATTATAGTTTTGTTGCAGGGTTGCTGTTACATTCACTTGTGTCGAATATTAACAACTTCATTAGCCTATAATGTGGATTTTATTTTATAATTATAAACTCACCAGAAATTAATATGAAGCACATTTCTACTTAATGTGCTCATTAACTGGTGTCACTTCTACAGATTAAAGAAATCGTATGGTAGTTTAAAGTGAGCTAGCTCAGAGCTCACGGAAGATCACGTAGTATTCAGTGATCGGTGGACACTACAGCAGTCGTGACAGGCGCAGCTTAGTGCGTGCGAAGAAGTGGAATATGTCTGTGCAAGATTTAGTGAGTACAGTGGATGACGCAAAACTTCCAACTCTAGCTGTTATAGCTTAGATAGGTGCCATCTGTCGAGGGTTGTGTCATGTAGGAGCAGCCGTGACGAGCGGTTAATCAAGACTGGCCAGAGGCTCGCTAGCTTCGCCATCATTGTGCCCAGTTCCTTACAGTAGATATCAGCAGTAATGCTAGTGCCATTTGGTAAGAAGCTGTGATGAATTATATCTCCACTAGACCACCAAACAGTGACCATGACTTTTAGGGGTAATTTTCCGTTTGGGATATTGCCTAGGTGCTGAACCAGAGTCTATTCAACATTACGACTGCTTATGATTATCACAACGAATCTATTGTTCATCACAGATGATGAGGCGGTTCAAAATCCATTCGTTTCTATGCTTGTTGAGCAACGCAAGGAATACCTTAACGCGACCGTCGCGCTGGCAATCGTTCAGGTCGGGCGGCACCCATTTACCTCTAGTATCTTTGACTCTAACATTGAAAGCTGCTGCTAACTGAGCGGTGTATTGAGTATCGTCAGCTTTCACTCTCGGCTTTGACACGTCGTTGTTGACTTTAGTTTTCGCGCGACTGGAGTTCATTTTTAAATCAAAACTTCGATATCAGAAGGCGATGTTGCGAGCCGTTAGTGCGGTCTTGTTACCGCATAGGAATTCGTATTCCATAATGAATTGTATTTTTATCGTGAATGATGAAAAAGACCAATGTAGTGAAAACAAAACAGTAACCCAAAAATAAATAAATGAATGTGAAAATGAAATTCCATATATTTTTAATAAATTTCAATTGATTTTACAATGTATCGCCAGCCATACATAAACGACGTTGGCCAGTACAGTATTGTACATCGGAAACTTTATAGATAGAGCTCTGTTATTAATATCTAAATATTATCTAGCAATTGCTATGGGGCAATGCTGCCGATGTCGAAATGATTTTTATCCAGCAGAAGAGGTCTATTTGTGCTATTTATAATATGCACCCGAGGAAATCCTTGAGGGACAAGTTTAAGGAAATCAAAATTCTAACTTTAGCGTCCCAATACATTTTTGAAAATTTATTGTACGTGCGTAAAAACATTGAAGAATTCCCCAGAGTCTGCGATTTGCATAATGTGAACACTAGGAACAAACATAGGCTTGCGTTGCCGGCGGCTCGAATTAAGAAAATAAGCAACTCTTTCAGGGGGCTGGGTGTACAACTTTTCAACAAGATCCCACTAAACGTTCAACTACTACCTGCTCATAGATTTAAGAAAACTGTCAAGGAACGTTTGTGCAACAAGGCATATTATCATCATCATCATCATTTCAGCCTATCGCCGTCCACTGCTGAACATAGGCCTCAGTGCGACCGGTCCATTGCCACCTGCATCCAACGAGACCCAGCGCTTTTTACTAGGTCGTCGGTCCATCTAGTAGGTGGCCGTCCCACACTGCGCTTGCCAGTACGTGGTTGCCACTCCTGGATCTTTCTGCCCCATCGACCGTCCTCTCTTCGTGCTACGTGGCCGGCCCATTGCCACTTCAGTTCACTAATTCTACGGGCTATGTCAGCAACCTTCGTTCTTCTACGGATCTCCTCATTTCGGATTCGATCACGTAAAGAAATGCCGAGCATAGCCCTCTCCATAGCTCGCTGCGCGACTTTGAGCCTTCGAAAAAGATCCCTAGTGAAGCACCACGTCTCCGAGCCGTAAGTCATCACTGGTAACACACATTGGTTGTACGCCTTTGTCGTAAGGCGTATTATACAGTTAAGGATTATTTACTAGATGGCACTACGTGGGAATGAGGCGCTCGCTCCTGGCCTTTTCATTTTCATTTTTCATTATTATTATTTTTTTAATTGTATTTTGTGACTTGTTTTTTCGTTTACTGTAAATATTTTTATTTATTTTAAAAAATTTTTTGAGAAAAAACAAAAAAAAAAGCCCGCTGAGTTTGTTTCGCCGGTTCTTCTCAGGACTGTGGCTTTTTTTGGAACCGGTGGTAGAGTTAACATTTATAGTTTGACATTCAACAAGTGTGTTATGCTGACATCCAAGTTGAAATAAATGATTATGAATTTGAATTTGAATGAACCATTTGTATCAATTCATTTTATTATTATTTTTTAAATTAATTAGTTATTTTTAATTAATTTCATTGCCATATTACTTATTACATTTAAAAAAAACAATTTTCTTATCCCTACATTGCTACAGAACGAACACACACAATATAAATGAATTACTATTATTTTAAACTGTTTTCGTACAAAAACGTGAATATTAGCTTTTTTAAACTAATTATTTTATAAGATAAACTATTTCATTTCATTTCTTACAAGCTAATAGTTTGTCTGCGTACTAAAACTTCTTCTATGAATTCTGAAAGTGTTTAATAATTAATTTAGTCATACAAGTTCGGCCAGCCCTCTCAGTTTGTCGGACAATTAAGTTCAAAAGTATTCCTGGTTAAGGTGTAGGTGTAAAGTAGTTGTTTTATTCCTTAGGATTCCGTCGATGTTATAGTGAGTGCGTCATGCGGCATACCCATGTTGTACATAAATAATAATAATAATAATAATAACTGATATAATAATGACTGAATTTAATAAACATAATTAATGAATCCCTCAAAATGTTTGTTAACAGACCGAGCGGAACTGAAGAGTGAATCTGGAGCTCACTCGGACTCTGATCACGAGCACGAGCATGAGCACGAGCATGTTCACGGTGAGCACGGTGAGCACGGTGAGCACGGAGAGCAGCTCGAGGCGATCGACGCGGGACGACCGCGCAAGGTATATTGCTACACGCAGCCTCAAGTGTTTTCATACTTTGGGACAATTACCAGTGCTGTATGTGTAGGTAGGGTACTCCACACAAGTCTTGGAGGGTCCGACACAAAAATGAAAAACATATTGTGCTGACATACGCATAACTATTTATTTTTCTGCGTAAACTGTATCTAATAATGAGTATATCAGAAGGAGTGTGGAAGTAGCCACGATGATTGACAAATTAAAGAGCAGTTAGCGTGGTATGGACATGTGATGGGTAGAGAGAAGATGCATGTGACTAGGAGATGTATAGAAATGATAGTGCAAGGTAGAGGGGGGAAGAGGTCGAACGAAGAAGACATGGATGGAGTGTGTGAATGGCGATATGAGAGAGAGAGAGAGAAGTAAGTGTTGATGATGAGAAGAGAATGGAAGAGAAAAATTATCTGTGCCGACCCCACCTAGTGAGATAAGGTGGAGAAAAAGAAGAAGAAGCTACACCTAAAATGTACCAAAGATAACTAGGTAGACCGCGTTGCCCTCCGTTAGCTCTTTTTTTTATTGCCCTTGTAGGCAGACGAGCATACGGCCCACCTGATGGTGAGTGGATACCGTCGCCCATGGACTTCAGCAATGCCAAGGGCAAAGTCAAACTGCTGCGTACCGCTTAATACTCTCCACAAGCCTCGTTTGAAGAAGGACATGTCATAGCGCTCGGGAAACACCGTGGAGGGGAGCTCATTCCATAGCCGGATGGTACGTGGCATAAAAGACCTCTGGAAACGCACTGTGGATAACCGCAGTGGCTCCAGGTAGTATGGGTGAACTCTACTCCGGTGGCGGGCGGTGCGATGGTAAAAACGAGATGCCGGTATCATCTCGAACAATTCCTCAGAGCACTCGTGTCAATCCCACTCCTTCGAGTGCTTCTCTACAAACGTTGTCGCTGGCGGCCGGCCGTGCGTGGTGCGCCGTGCGTCGTGCGCCGTGCGTGGTACCGTTGCGTGTAGTTGTGTGTTGTGTGCATGTGGAGCAGGTGCGCCGCAGCCGCACCACGTTCACGACGTACCAGCTGCACGAGCTGGAGCGCGCCTTCGACAAGACGCAGTACCCGGACGTGTTCACGCGCGAGGAGCTGGCCATGAGGCTGGAGCTCAGCGAGGCCAGGGTGCAGGTTGGTGCCACACACACTACCCACACTACCCTCACTACCTCACTACTCGACGAACACTAATCCTCTTCACTTATCAATATTTGATTAATTGTTACGGAGACAGAGTAGAAAAAGTATACAATTTAAATTTGAAATTCTTAAATATCGACGCTTGAAAGGCAAACGTGACTAAGCGACAATGCGTGAACTTTACAGTAGACTAATTGAAGGTTGAAATACCTGAAAAAATAATATATTTTAACGAATCTAGCTGTAGGTTTTAAATGATTTTAATAGACCTAGAAATATATATTTTTGCGCATTGAATATGGTTATTGCCTATCATTTATGTACAAAGCAGTTATTGTCGCTTAGTCACGCTTGCCTTTCAAGCGTCGATATGTACTAAACGTAAAAACTGTTTTAATAATCTTAAATTTGAATTTGGAACTTGTTATTTATTGCCATGAATGTTATTTCATTATTGCGGCAAACTTTTGTAATGTTAATACCATTTATATCGAAATAACTCGCAAAATTATAATTTGCGTAATTACTGGTGGAAGAACGTCTTGTGAGTCTGCACGGGTAGGTACCACCGCCTCGCCTATTTCTCCCGTGAAGCAGTAATGCGTTTCGGTTTGAAGGGCGGGGCAGCCGTTGTAACTATACTGAGACCTTAGAACTCATATTGTAACGTTAACCCGTTACGCCAACCGGTAGCCGCAGTGGAGAGTATGTGATTCTATAAAAGTTTCTCAGGGCACCACATAATTAAAAGATGAAATGCAGTCGTACAAAGAAACATATATTTACCCAAGCTACACACAGACACACACACAGCACGAATAATACAATTATATAATAAATTAACACGATTGAATAACAATTAAATTTTGAGATTATGGTCTTAAAATTATCGAGGGTAGATATACGATGGATATATGCTAAGTTCGATTACGTATCTTTATTGCAATGGTGATCCTGAAGCACCAGGTCTTGGGATCCAACAAAGATACTCCAGCTCCTTTACCCTAGTTGTTCAGTAAAAGCACCAATTCATGTTCTGGGACGTGACTGGAGAAACCACGGAGCAAATTTCAATAATGGATAAATATGTCGCGATTAACGGGACTATTGGAACTCTATAATTATTTATTCACTATTAGTTTCGTCAGTCTATGAGGATTGAACACAGTAAAAATGTAAAGGACTTACCGATATTACTAATCAGGCACTTATCATGTCCTTGATAGAATTACAGCTAAGTATATACGCGTTGAGTCGGTCTTCACTGCAACTGTATAGCGCGGCTTCAGAATGAATGGCTACTGCGGTGGTACGCGCTTACATATAAATAAGAACAAATGGTATTAGGACGCAGTGTGTGCCACGTGCAGATCACAAAACTTGTTAAGATGCAGTGAACGCCAACACACAGGTCGCCATAAAATTAAGCATAATATAATACTGCGTTACAATATCTCAAGCTGGGTGGCGGCATTTACGTTGTAGATGTCTCTGAGCTTCGGTAACCACTTAACGCCAGGTGGACCGTGAGCTCGTCCACCAATCAAAGCAATAAAAAAATATATATATATGTAGTGATCCCGTCACCGTCTTCGTCGAACTCGTCGACGACGACGAAAAGTTCAACCTGCGATCTCACCCATAGACACAGCCCGCGAGGGTCTCGCCGGACCAGGCTCCCAGCGAATAGGTAGGAAAGAAAAATAAGGGGCGTCATCCGAGTTCTAAAACTGGATCCGAGCATTATAATAATTGCGCGTCGCTGTCTCTACAGTCGGTAATTGAATACATTCTCTCATCTCTGCCGGTAGCATTGAAGTGGTTGTCGTTAATTATAATTCATTATACACAAATAATAATTAAACGCTGTAGGTGGTAGGTAGAAAGGTGCTGCGTAATTGTCTACAAATTATGTTGGAGCTTGGACTACGTACAGACTAACATAAAGTCACCAGTGGTATTACCAACCAGCGGTATTATTAAATTATGTTTACGTATTAAAAATATTCTTTAATTGTAATCATTTACAAAACTTAAAACATTTATAGTCCGCCCGGTACAATAGAATCAATCGCTTTGCAGTATGTGATGGTTGCAAGGCTAACATTAGCATATCGCATGATACAATGTCAAGTCATGTTGTCTCCTGCAATTTACAAATCTTCCGTTAAAACTGAACTGAAGGTTGTCCTTCGCGACAGCTTGCAATCAGCTCGATTGTGCGGCTCATTTTAACCTTCACTTGTAGAGTTGATTTGTTAAAAAAAAAGGAAATATTGTTGAATTGAGTCAAGAATTTGTCAGTAAAGTTGAAAAGAATATTGCAAATGCGGAGGCTCGGATGCGAGCGGCTTTGCGGCTTGGTCTCGCGCTCATTTTGTTCAATAGTAATTCCATGTCTTAATTATTTATAATGTTCGTGTTGTTCGGGGGATGATTGGTTTCACGTCCTTACGGATCCATCAGATCCAATAACCTTTGCATTAGACGCCTTCAGCTCTAACACTAGGAGCAGGCTTAGGGACCCCGGTAACCGTACTCGTCGAACTCGACAAAGAGTTCGCCGTGCAACCTAACCCATGAATCAGCTCGCTGAGTTTCTCGCCGGATCTTCTCAGCGGGTCGCGATTCCGATCCGGTAGTAGATTCATTCGCGAAGCAGCTACTCTTGAGCTGTTAGGTCTCCTTCGGAGGCGCTCGGGTAGCTGTTAGCAAATCTCACCTCTCCTGGCTGAGCCTTTGCTCGCCCACGTGTCCTGGTGAAACTGGAAAGGCCTCCGGGCCACCAGTAATCTTTCAATCATAAAAAAAAAAAGGATGAACGTAGCCACAGTAAACAACTAGAATACGTTTACAGACAGTTCACGCAATAATCGACTTTAGCTGTTTGTAACACATTTCCTTTTCTAACTTTCGTCAGCGCCTAGAGGTTGCTCTAACTTTAAAGTGTGGGAACCTTGCGTCGGAATGTGAAACGAATAAAATGTGTGCGATCCCGGAGACAGTAGGTACTAAAGCACGAGCCCGGCGTGTTGGCGTGTGCTGCGTGTAGGTGTGTCGGCGGACAGCGAATGCAGAGTGCAAGCTGTAATTAAAATTAGTTCCCATTCTATTCACGGCGCGGCGGCGGCGGTGGCGGCGGTGCGGACCACAATGCTGCTAATTGTGCCGACACTGCAGCCTCCGTCCGCTACACTGTACACGGCGCATAGTCTTCAATGCCGCATAATCATACGTATAACAATGCCGCATACTCATCTTTGTGATACATTGGACACATCCCCGAGTTTTAGATGTGTTTCTGCGTGTATTTCCTTTCCAACCAACGAGCACAACTCACACGACTCCACGGTACAACCTGGTACTGTAGAGCGTGTGGTGCGGTGGACTCGCGACATTATTGTTCCAATTAGTGACCGGCCGTGTCACTTATGTTGATGTTGTTGTTTCTCCACAACTCAGTCAAGCCGTGTCTAAAAAAGCATTGCATCGCATCACATCGCATCGCATCGCATCGCATCGCATCGTGTCGTATAACGTAGACTGCAGAGTGTAGTGCGGCGATGTCGCTGGTGCACAATGGCTCATTACGTCCTCGTGCGGAGAGCGCTAATGTTTGCAGCACTCGGCTCGCCGCGATGAGATGAACACCGCCTCCTACTAATTACTTACGGCTCTTGCAAACAGATTTCATGACAATGCTTTCTTACAATTATTTTCTCGTTACGATCGTTCTTCGTATTAATCCATTTGATAATACTGGAATAATGTCAGTTCCCCAAACGAGAGTTATGGACATGAAAATTTCTATGAACATCATGTCAGCCGTAAGCTCGACTGCCCATATCAGCTAATAACAAAGGCAATCAGAAAATATAATAATATGCATATTGGTGACGCCTCACATTCTTTTAACTTTTGTTCCTATTTTCGTGTTAGAAATAACAACATTTATCTGTTGTTATATTAGAGTTCGCAAACAAGCTTTCATCGCTATTCTTTAACGTCAAGGGACTTGCTTTATGTATGTTTTGTGAGATGTCGAGTAGGCAGTAGAGCTGCAGGAACCGCACTGTGCAGCACACGGGAAGGTGCATGTTGTCTCGGGAGCCGCCTGTACATGTCCGGAGGCTCCTACTACATCTACATCACTCTATAACGCAGCTCGTGTAGTTTGCGCTAATGGCTGCAAGATGGGAGTTGTCGTATAACTCATTAAAACTATAATTAAGTTTTATTCAACGGCCAATGTAGTTGTTCGTATACAAGTATTACTTACTTTGACTCCATGCCCTCTCAAAGATCTGGCGCTCCCTCCTTCCTTCACCCCCGCCCTCTCCGCTTCCCCCACCCCTTTCCTCTGTAGCTCGTTCTCCCTTCGAACAATAATCGTGCTAATAACTAAATTGCTCAGATTTGTGGGCTTTTACCGAGTCTTTACATCGGGCATTATGACACGAATTACTTCAAATGTAGCATTATTGNTTACTTTGAGTCCATGCCCTCTCAAAGATCTGGCGCTCCCTCCTTCCTTCACCCCCGCCCTCTCCGCTTCCCCCACCCCTTTCCTCTGTAGCTCGTTCTCCCTTCGAACAATAATCGTGCTAATAACTAAATTGCTCAGATTTGTGGGCTTTTACCGAGTCTTTACATCGGGCATTATGACACGAATTACTTCAAATGTAGCATTATTGAATTCGAATGATGGAAATGGGTTTTTCAAATGTAACAGACGACGGTTGGATTGCCTTGAATGAACACAGCTCAGATATAGGCGATCTCGGAGGGCGGTGCGGGCTGACACGCTGTGTTCTGCACGGGACGCAGCCGAGCTCACCTGGTCTTGTATAGACAGACAGTTGTGACAGTTCTCCTTAGTGCAACTGCGCCTTTCGACCTCAGGTCTCTAACTAGCATTCCAAATATAACTATTACGTAGGTACGTACGCTGATTATGAGTATGGATTATTACACTAATCGAATTTAGGTTTAAATATCAACCAGTGGTACACTTTATATAAAATAGTGAGTGTTTAAATTGACATGATCTTAGTGTGCTAGTTGATGTGGCTTCCGTCAGCGTCAGACGCCCGGCCAAGCGAGAAACTGCTCGCAAAGTTGACGGTGTAGCTGCATCAGTGGTGCTCTCGTCAATCTCGCCGCTGCGTAATTGATGTTAATAATAGCGATAATACTTGAAACCGGCGAGTGCTTTGTGATTAGTAATGAGCGGAGTGCAGTGCGAGCCCGTGAGGATCATGCGTCAAACAATGGCTTAATTAAGCATAGTTTAGTGTGAAGTGCACTCGCGACATGCTTCAAGTGAGCGCCTGCAATTTGGTAATTATGGTCTCTCGGGGGACGGAGGAACGGGGGGAGGGGAGGGAGGGCGAGAGGGGCTGATGTCGTCGCAGACACTTGAGGAATTAGCGCTCGTTGTGTGGGATGACTTCAAACAGTGAAAAATGTAAAGATTCTTTGAAAGGGGTTCTAAATCTACTAAAAGTGGGGATTAGAGTGAGCGCTTCTAACGGATATAATAAGTCAGGTCGGTTTTTGTCTCACGAAGTTGTACAGGATATTGTCTGACTGGACAGCAGATAGGGTTGCTCAATGAAGCAGCGTATCCCTGCGGTAGAAAGGGCCGACACGAGAGCGAGTCGACAGCCATCGACTGTCGCAAACAAGTACTAGCTGGGTTCTTAGCAGTCAATAAAAGAGGTAGTTAATTATCTGTAAGTGAAGTGAAGTGCGAGTTTGGACTGTATGGAGCCAGGAGCGGGGTGCAGTCACTCGCCGCCCTGCTGCTATACACTACACGGAGACGATATCAAACAGAGTATCAATTAGAACATTTTCAATCACAAATTGTAAAACGCATAAAACATTTAAATAGATACGTCTTTTGTTCAAAGTAGTTCAATCAGTGTTTATATTGCCAATTTGCAGGAATGCTTGTCTAATTATTATTTTTATTAATATTGTGTAATTTACATAATTTAGGCATATGTAAAAAAATCATTAACTTTTTATCATCCATAATAAAAATGTATGGTTCTTGAAAATTAAATTCTTGCTCTAAGATCATCTACGTTAAATACGTCTGCTCTACTAGCTTCTCTCTCCTGCGTCAAGCGTCGATCACTACACCTTTTTATTGGGGACTTCTCGTTTTCAATTCATAACCTATTCAATTAAATCAATTCCCATCTTATTCCTTTGCGATAAGGTTGAAGATGCTCTGTGAGAGTCGAGCAAGGGGCGTGTAAGTCTTTTGTACAAACGCCATCTATCGAGTGGATTAAAAGTAATTTGCACCGATTCGAGTGTGATTAAAGTGTTCTGTGTGAGGACGGAGGGCCCTCGCCGCGCACTTGGGCTGCTCCAACACTCGGAGCACTACAGCACTCACTAGTCAAATATTCAAATTCATATAAATATCGATAAATACTCACCCCTATTGTATCGTGTTTAACATCGTGTTTTAATTAAGATCATTACGGATATTAATTTCATTATTCTAAGAATGTATGTAGATGGTGTCAAGTGGTTGCCGTCACTGATCACAAAGTGAATGACGACACCCGTTTTGAGACATGAGGTCAAAGTCTCAAAGCGGGCCATACGTGTAACAATCGCAGTAGGTCGTAACGCGCCATTGTGCGGAGGCGATCGCTCGTACATTATGAAATAATCGTCGTTTTTCATCTTTTTTATTAGCCGAAACCGCGAGTAGCCTAATTTGGTTCTATTCTCTACATCGGATAGACGATATTAGATCGTACGTTCATTAAATAGAGTGCAGTTCTCCTTGGTTCGGTATTGGCATGAAAACCACGTATGAGTAATTGCTTTTCATTACGTCTCTATTGTAGTCGAGAGCGGGGGTGAGATGGGGGATGGGGCGCGGGGCTGCGGGGGAGGAAGAGGAGGCAAATTGTGAACAATTACAGTCGATTACAAAAAAAATTAAAGTCGGCCACGAGTCTCGGGGTTTTACAATACTGGACACTGTTATGCAAAAATGAACAATTATTATTTCGAACGTGGGCTATTTTGTCGACATGTAGCCAGCCACTGGAACTTCTACTATTATAGTCGTATTTTTATGAGTAAAACTACATTTCAATAGCCACTGTCACTGTTAAATCAACTACTATACTGCATCTATGGCTACCTGTGTTTTATTCTTCCGTAATGAATTTGAAATTTTGAGCAGTATCGCATTAGATGATAATAATATGTAATATGACTAAGTCTAATGTACTGACTGATTCGATGGGGCGCCCTTACCTGCGTGACCGTGGGTCAGGCGACAAGTTCATTTGCTCTATATCTGGCTTTTTAGTAGGTACTGTATATTTGAACTTAAGTAGAAAACAGATTTTGGACCGAGTGACTGTGTCTGATTATTTATTCATTTATTTATCTGTTCGAATCTACTAAGTGAAGAGCTATTTTATTAACATATTATGTATAAAAGTCGTGATCATAGTAGTTGCGGGTCATACCTGTTCAAGAAATGGCGAGTGGTTCAATGAGAGAGCTCGTTGCTGGAGGAGTAATGGGTACAGCGGTGTGTTTGTCTGTGCCAGGTGTGGTTCCAGAACCGACGCGCGAAGTGGCGCAAGCGTGAGAAGGCGCTCGGCAGAGAGCACGCGCCCTTCCTGCACCACGACCACGGTGAGTCACTCCTATATCAAGAATTATCCTTTTTTTTTTTACTGGTGGTAGGACGCCTTGGGAGTCCGCGCGGGTAGGTACCACCACCCTGCCTATTTCTGCCGTGAAGCAGTAATGCGTTTCAGTTTGAAGGGCGGGGCAGCCGTTATAACTAAACTTGCGACCTTAGAACTTATATCTCAAGGTGGGTGGCGCATTTACGTTGTGAACGTCTATGGGCTCCAGTAACCACTTAACACCAGGTGGGCTGTGAGCCCGTCCATCCTAAGCAATAAAAAAAACATTTTCTGAAGCTATATATGGACTCTTTGGAAGAGAGCTTGTCTGTAGGAATGTTCGAATAATCATAAAATAATTCACAATGAACTGAACCCACCCAAAAAAAATTACGTATGGTATGGTATTAGGGCGGCTAATATCGCGATTGATTAACTCGTGTATGTTGTTATTTAAAAAAATCAATATTAAAAAAAACGATTCAAATTTGGACCTGCTCCAGGCAGCGGATTGGCTCTGCCCTTAGCATTGATGAGGTCCATGAGCGACGGTAACCACTTACCATAAGGTGGGCGGTATGCTCGTCTGCCTGCTAGGGGAATAAGAAAAATCAACGTAGCACTTAGTTAGACCTTTATAATTGGACGAGTGCGAGCTATACTTATAGCAAGTGACCTATACCTACTTATAATTATGCCATTGTTAACCGGTTTTAGAAAAAACCAAACAACTAAACATTTTTTTTTTTTCGAAAACAGATTCATCCCTGATTTAAAAAAAAACCGTTACATATTTGCTGGTAGTCCAAGGGTATTCTCACGGTTGAGTAGGTAAGCTCACGGGCTCAACCTGAAAGAATTTGCTAACACTAGCCCTAGCAAGAGTAGCAATTTGCAGAATCTACCACTAGATCGGAATCGCGACCCACTGAGAAAATCCAGACTTTGCCGTGCCCCGTCGCCTGGGTCAAATATGTAATTAGCGGCGGCCACAATAAGAGTGTTATTGTGTTCTAAATTAAGATGGTCGTGAAGGTCCACATTCTTCACGCACCACGGAGCTCCGACGGTTATCGTGCAGAACATGGATGGATTGAATGACCTGGAAAACACTTGTATGCGGGCTGCGTGAGCGAATACTGCATTTATATAGGTCATGTCATGTCATGACATAATAATGTGCATTTGTAGAGTGTCACCTTATTACGAAGGGACAATTTACTTCGCCTGCAGATCATAAGGATCGGTCGCGTACTTGTGTCGGGACCGAATGTCGTCCTTCTGTCAAGGGTGACGACTAGGTACTTGGCTTTCGAAGCCCACGGTACGGGCGGTATAACACGTCTAACTCTGGACGAGATACCAGCAGTGGTATCGGGAGGGCGACCCCTTTTGAAGAGCACGACTGTGCTTTACGTGGGGTTGAATTAAAAGAAATCGATTAAGTTTGAGCAGCCTATGGGGAATGTGACATGGCCTTCTTCAATCGTGGCTTGCGAAGAGTACTTAGGGGTCGGTAGAGGCTTGGCTCTGCCCTTGCCATCGCAAATAACCATAAGCAATAACCACTCACTATCAAAGGCTAAAAATAAAGCACTATGTGCTACTAAGACGCAGGTGTTTGGGTTTACTCAGGATTTCGCTGCTCCACAACCGTTTCTGTGGTAAGCCGTGTAACACAACCATAGCGCGATTCAGGTAGTGAGCACAACGCCACCTTCGAGTATGTACAGTTATAAGCTCCTCAAATTTTAAAACTTTTTGCCTCTTGCATAAACTCTAATTAATCTAGGTGACAGGGAAGTACTCTGTAGATTTTGATTAGTGACGAATGTAGTAGCTTCAATATAATTATTATCATTCTGGTCATTAGCATTGTCAACGCGAAACCTTGAATACTCGTGAACATATTCGTATTTTCTCGTCACATAGCTATTTATAACGTACAGATTCAGAACTTCCGTAAGTGATGGAAGTGGTAACCACTTTTACTGATGCACCGGAGGTTTCTCCTACTTTCATTTTTTAATACTAACTTTTTGGAGACACATCCAACATTATCCATAACTATCGTGTACAAGGCATTCCCTCACAATTAACGTGTGGCTCGGAAAAGGTACATATGCTTCCCGCGCATTAGTTGGTATAATTATCGATGTAACACGTGATACCGACACGTCCACCCGCCACCGAGTAGAGGAGGCGGCCGGTAACGAGTCGCGGTAATCGATTCCGACGATTAGTGGCAGTTAGCGCCCGATACCGATCAGAACAGTGCCAGCCCGCCGCACTGTGCCTCACTATGCCGCACTACGCCGCGATACGCCGGCCGGACACTCTCAGGAACATTTGTTCTGTCGCTGGCGGGCCGGGGGTGCGGGTAGGGGCGCGGGCGGGGGCGGCGCTGTCATTATAAAGCGATTATTGTTTGATACGATTCATAATGTATTAACTTAAGCGTGATTCGCTTTCAATAAAAGTTCACTTTTGATTTTTGAATACATTTTTTGTGTATTTTTTTAATGTTGGTTTTGTACTACTAGCTTTGAATAAATTTTGTTGCTTAATTTTAAAATGTAATTAAAATTTCATAAGCAGATTGTAACTTAAATACAGCATTTTAACAAAAACAAAATTTGCCCTTGATGGCAAACAAGCAAACTTTTTGGTGAGTGGACTCGATCGCCCATGGACGGTGGCAATCTCATGAGTGCAGTGGGGCCTCAGGTAACACTGGGAATTACATATAAGCTATGAGATATTGAACCGTACAGTGAGCCCACACAGGCCGCCACAATCGCCCTGATCAATGCTACTGTGGAGCAACCACGCGTTCTGGCTTGAAAGGCGGGGCAGCCAGGACAGACGGCTACATTCAACTTGTGGTGTCCGTGCGCTCCTGCGTGCGAGCGTGTCGTATCGTTATGCTCATATAAAGAAACAGAAATGTGCGAGCCCAGTCAATAGTTACTCCCCGGCGACCAGCGCCCCGACTCAAGAACACGATGGCGCTCCTGAACGTGCCTCCCAAATTTTAATACAGTGATATTTTTATATGAAGTGCGGAATGACATTTGCGACATTGCGGTAACGACATATTTGGGAGATATTTGTTTGCCTCCAAATTTTATAACAATTAAATATATAATATCTATTCAAATCTTGAGGCGTAAGTGATCATGGTCGACTGCGCACCGATCATTGGGTGAACGAACACTAGTCAAATTAAAATTATAAAAACGCATTGAACCAGCCGAATCGACACGGAGTAATCGAACTAGCGCCGCATAGCGACCCACGCTACTCCGCACNGGAGATATTTGTTTGCCTCCAAATTTTATAACAATTAAATATATAATATCTATTCAAATCTTGAGGCGTAAGTGATCATGGTCGACTGCGCACCGATCATTGGGTGAACGAACACTAGTCAAATTAAAATTATAAAAACGCATTGAACCAGCCGAATCGACACGGAGTAATCGAACTAGCGCCGCATAGCGACCCACGCTACTCCGCACCTACAGACGCAGGCCTCGGAAACTGGTCGTCTGTTTCTTTTATTGTCCTCGTACCCACAGGTCATACCCGATCCTGTAGACCGAATGGTAAGCAGTCGACGTCACCCAAAACACGTCATTAAGGATCCTCCTGATCCATTAACGGTACTTTTAGGTACCACAAGCACCGGTCACCGTGCTCGTCGAACCCGTCGCTTGCGACGAAGGGTTCGACGAGCGAATTAGCCCATAGACACAGCCCACTGAGTTTCTCGCCGGATCTTCTCAGGGAGTCGCGTTTCCGATCCGGTGGTAGATTCTGCGAAGCACTGCTCTTGCTAGGGCTAGTGTAACAACACTCCGGCTTGAGCCCCGTGAGTGAAAAAAACCCACAGGACAGTGAATGAGCAGTAATCGAAATTCACAGTAGTTCTGTAGACGCTGTGGGTACAGGAGATCTATCTATCTATATAACTCTCTAGGCTATCATCAAAGCACAACATAATAATTTCAAGTTCATTGAACCTACAGTTGATAAACCCTCAAATTTGGAATCATTAAAATTGTATGAGTAACTGTTTATAATCGATCACAACAAACGTGCGCGGGCACGGAGAGGGGGGAGAGGGGGGGGGGGGGGGGGGGGGGGGGGGGGGGGGGGGGGGGGGGGGGGGGCGGCAGGTGACATGTGACAAGGCGCGCATTGTCCGCGCTACACCTGCGACACTAATCAATCTGTTTACTGCCGCCGTTGTTACTACTGCTACTACTGCTATTGGTTGAAATCGTCGCGTTGCTGTCGTTAGCACTCTCACTGCCTCATGATTCTTGTACTGAATTCAAACCACATTCAGTCAGTAACCAGTTCCCGACTACAATAGCACATACAATAACTTTGGTTTTGGGAGGCTTAAACGACGAAAGGAAAATCTTCCACCGAGCGGGTGGTATTTGCTCAGTAGACCGACGGTCCGAATGTTGTTGTTCGGAACTTGTATATATGCGCTTTATCTTGAAAATGTCGTAAGCGAGATTCAGGCATCTGTCAATTATCTTGCGTTGTATGATGGCTACCCGCCACATTGGTGAAGTCTCTAATTCAAATTCAAATTCAAAGTGAAACTCTAGTGAGTCAGTTCTTGTTTTTTTAGTTTATTCTTTAAGTAACGATTTCATTCCACACCCTCGGTGCTTAAATATCATAGTCAATATAATCGAGCGTTAACAGCACGTTTATAATTAAAATAAAATAAGCTTTATCATATAGCACTTAAACATCATAGTGTATTTATTGTACCCAATGGTCACGTCCCATCTTTACCCCACTTTAGTAAAAATCTGCTACTGAGAAATATTTCTTTGTTTAACTAGATCTAATCACTATGATGATACACATTGAGTTAGTCTACCAAAACGTGTTAATATACGCATCTGACTACAGATGACAGCAAATGCATTATTAACCTTTACCCGTTCACCTGTTGCATATTGTTTATACTCGTATTGTAGGTACACTTACAATCTCCGGTGGCGCGACGCCGTTGAAAAACATTTTTTTCTGTTGTCACTACTTTATTTTAATAATTTAAATTACATCCTACAACTTTCAAAATGTAAACACGATTTCCAATTTTATTATATTGAATGCCGTGTATGTGTGTTAGTGTGGATGTGTGTGTAATTGAGCAGAAAATCAGAGATATGTTGTTATTTGAATGAGTTAAACAATAATAACTAAAATATTGTCCTAGCGAGTCAAGCTGCGGGCCACGCGGAGGACGTTTTAAAAAATAAAAAATAAATTTTTGGAACGTTTATTCCGCACCAAATCTAACTTAAGACTAACTTATTACTAATCTTAATGTAACGGGAAGGGCATCGGACGAATTCCACAATTCAGCAGTTGAGTTCGCCGAAGATCTGCCTCTGCAGACATGCGTCAGCAGAGGTGCCCGACGTAACTAGCGTTTGAATATTTGTAAACTGTAGTACGATGAGTTTCTTCTGGTTATCTTATCTTAACTTCCCCCATTTTAAGGGTGGTTCAGGGAGCAGCCGCGGTGCTACGCCTACACACTCTGTTTCAGTCTATATTCCAAGCTGAGTAGGTCGGTTACTTTTAAAGCTACAGTGAACTTGAGCAGTCGATGGCGGGCTTTACGGATTAGAGTGATCTTTTCCAGGCAATCTCAACACTAGCACTGGGGTCTTCTTGTGCGTCCTGGTATACTGTGCTAATAATAGCGGATACAAAACTCATGAATGATTGAACTTATTTTGTACTAGTTAATTAAGTGCTTGTAATTTGTGTGTATGTCAATTGAAATAAAATAGAAATATTTGTGCAGTGGTGGGAGAGTGGGGCGGCCCAGGAGAGTGGTGGTCGCTGGGACTTGGCGCCGGGTTCGTTCACCCCGTGTGGAGAGACGCCGAGCCTGCCTTCAGAGCTTTACTGCACAGGTACTCTATATACGATTTAAATAATATTATCAATTGATTTTCGTGTAACCGTGTTCACTGTGGCTTGCGACGATGGACCATTCCTCCAAACCAGGCTTCAAGAATATCCTAGAAAGAACTGGATTTATCCAATTGTTCATGAATCACGAAGAACTCGATGATAGTTCCATGTACCCCGGACCGCAGTGAACGTATCGATTGATGGATGTCGTGTCGGTAGTGGGGTAATTTCAAAGCAATGAACTCAAATCCGTGGGTGGGTCTCTCCACTCATGTTTTGGATGTGGGATCTGGCGGGCGAAGAGCTTGGGGTTGAGTGATTAGCACAAGGTTCGCTGGGCTGTCTAATTCGCCGAGATAAGAACTCTTACGAAAGAACGCTTATGTTGTTTGTTTGTTAGTTTGTTCTCACATCATTATGCTGCAGGTACGTGCTGGCGCTCCCTCCTCCTGCGCTGCTCCCCGCGGAACCGGAGCCGGCGCCCTCTCCCCCCACCGCGCCGCGCTCCCCCGGCCCCGTCCCCGCGCTCGCCCTCGCCCTCACCCCCGCGGACACGCTGCGGCTGCGAGCTCACGACGCAATCCTGCAGGAGAGGGCCTTGCAACACAACAACAAGGTCCACACGTAACCTCAAAACAGATCTCTTGCGGCCCTCGTCCACAACCTTACCGAAGAATGACCGAACGAGCCAGTATTCGAATTTACGAATAACCAAACACGCGCCACGCATGTACAAAGTCATCAAATACACTAAATGCTAGTAGTAGTAGTAGTAGTATTAGTAGTCACTTAAAAAAGCGATGGATTGTACCTACTGGTTGCAGACCCTGTGCTCGACGCTAGTGGCGTGTCGTATCACAGCCTGTTCCTTGTAAAACTAATTCGCGACGTCTGCTCTGTGCCTGTGTGGGTACACAGCGCACCCTCACCACTAGATGTTTGTTGATCATTCGAATCTGTAACTAGTCGGTATAGTGTCTCGTCGTGCATCGACGCTTAATACACTGGACAACAACGAGCATGGACACGTGAATACATCGTTCTACCCGTAAACTTGCTTAAACTGAAACCCAAATTTAATAAACCCAACAAATGATGAAGGTGATGGTTTGGTGGCGTCGTGTCAGCAAACACGAGCGTTGTCGGGAAAAGTTCCGATGCAACTCCAGCTGTACGCTTCGGAACTTATTGTACTTCACGTTAGGTATTCAATTTCTACTTTTAAAGAATCACTCACAGGTACAATACATATTAAACTTATATTCCCGAAACGTGAGAAAGATATTTGGTGGTTTTTCCTCGCTTCTAAAATTTGACGGATGTTTGAAGACAACACGAAGTTTTCAATAAGTATTGACAATGTGTTTGGTTCACTCAGTGTCACAAGCTTCATGCATTTTTCTTCATAATATTATTAGAAAGTTTACTAAACTAATTGATTAGACATTTTGTATGATTTCGTTTGTATCTAGTTATTAAGTGGTGTGCCTTACTGGTAAACATTAATTCTCACACATTCCATGAGATCTCACGGTTTCAATTTAGGCTCTTCAAATTCTGTAAGTTATAGAAATTAAAATGTTAATTGATTAAGATAATTCAGTAATGTTTTGAATAATTATAAGACATAGCGTTTAGTGATAATTACTTTTATTAAACTTAAAATATAATATATTATTATTGCACTCCCAGAAAAGTATATAAACTAGTCGTTTTTGGCGCGACGTAGTAGCCACACTGTGTATAAATGTACAAATAAAAAAGTTATTACCTGGAACCTACATCTAGGGTGGTAGATCTGAATTCACTTCTATTTGTTCCGCCGCTGGACGAAGACCCATAGGTACTCGTACCATCCGCAGTAATCTATGTCAAGTCTCCCACTTTCTGTCTAATTATTCGTATCCCAGAGTAGTCACCGTCGAAAGTGCTGTATGCGCACATTTCTTTGTTTGTTTGATTGATTGTAAATATTCAATAACTTGGTAACTTTTTAGTGTACAATATAGTAGGTCTTTACCTAAGAAGTTGCTGTTTAGTATACACAAATTTAGACTCATTTTTTAAAATAAAAGTAAAAAAATTAAAATGTGAAACTAAACTTCCATATTTTTTTAAATAAATATTATTTGATTTTATAATGTATCGCCAGGCATCAATAGGTACCGTTTAAATGGCCAGTATTGTAAAACGGCAACTTTATAGGTAAAGTAAGACCTGTCGTGAAGTCATGGCATTTGCAAACCTGTGAGCACCAGCCACGGACTCTGAACGAATTCTGGGTGACGGTTGTTGTTCTATGAACACTGCACGTCTAAAAGAGTAAATTGAAGAACCAACTCGGATTGTGTTCATCTGAACGTAGTGCTCAGTTCACATTGATCTGTATATAATTGTGTAAATGATTGTAAATTATATTGTAGTCAGTAAGTAGATATCGTCTCTGGAGTCAAACAGAATGGTTACAAGCGACCCAAAACGGACAGCAGTTGCATCTTTCATATGAGTTCTTGATTAGTTGAGTTATAATTACAACAATTAATAAGCAGTAGTTACTAACAGGAGAAAAGACAGGGCTGCAGAGAATTGTAGAAAAAAAAAACTTTTGACGGGTTGCCGAAATAAAGTCGTTATTTATATCAACTTAAAGTAGTCATTCTGTTTGACGAAAATAATGAGTAGGTACTAGTTGTAATTAGTGGTCATTTATCGGACACATGTAGACCGTTTGCAATAATGTGACAGTAAGATATCCAATCAATATAAACGTAACTATGCTATTGTGTTGTTTTATTTAGTCAAGACATTCCGTTGGCGAGCGCTCACCAGTGTGTTCCTTATCAGTTCTCTAGGGGCGTACACAGTCTCACTGTCCGTTTAGGGATTACGAAGAGAGCCCGCGGACAACACTCATATTGATATATGAGATCAAAGTCACCAATGCGTTGTGCAGCGGTGGCGATTTGTGTGCTTCGAACGGGGCGGGGGTGGCTGCGTGACTATAATACTAAGTCGTTAATTAATCTCGTTTTTTTTTCAGTTAATTAACTTTCATTTAGATTGTTGTCTCCATATTTCATATCTTTAGCCAAAGTAATGAAAACAACCTCAAAATAATTAACTAAAATAACTATTGAATTCACACATGTAGCATTAATCATATTCCGTCCGTGGTTTATTTCATTTTAAGAAAAACTAAATTTAAAACTGCCCAATTATGTATAGTTTTGTATCTTGAGCCATAGAAAACTGACCTATCGGCGTCCCTAACCTTCAACCGGTTGTCTGTGAGGAGAGCGAGTCCGCGGTGCAGCCCTGCCGCCCCCGCCGCCGCCCCCCGCCCCCCGCGGAGATGAGCGCGGGTGTAATCCCGAGGCTCGATAGCTTTACAAAGAACGCGGAGTGTTTGAAGGAAGATTAATTTCCAAAAAAGTTCTTGTGCCACCGCACCGCACCGCCGCGCCGCGCGGAATGTTCTGGACGGTGTCGGTGCCAAAACACTAACTCTAACGATTTTCTTGTTTTACCTATTTATAGTGTTTTCAACTTTTGCTTAAGAATTCTAAATGTGACATTTAAACTAAAAGTCGCCTAATGTACATACATGAAAATTTCCAACATGTTAATGAAAGTCTAGTATTTAGGTATGTACGGGCTTGGAGTCACCTGTATGTAACACGCAAATAAAAACACGGATATATGACATCGAAGTTCTCATCCGTTTGTCAACAGACTTGTTGCTTAGTGGATACGTTTTGACGTCTGTAGGTCTAGTTCTGCAGAGAAAAAACTCAGCTTTCCTCAAGTCCACTCCACTCCTAGTTATTTCGTTCCATTTGTAGATTACTATAGGTAGGTACATCGGGAAATAAATAATCGGATAATCGAAAATTTAAAAAATCTTTATACTATCAATGACTATCTCATGTAAACGCTACTGTGAGTTCAAGAACCTTGATCTGGCCTCTCACGATACTGTACATAAAGACACGCATGTTGATAATATAGACAGGAAAATATAAGTTTTTTATTATTGCCCGAGCAGGCAGACTAGCATACGTCCCACCTGATGATATGAGATATGTGGTGATATCAGGCACTTTAGCAATGCCAGGGGTAGAGCCAAGCCGCTGCCTACCGCTTAATACTCTCCACAAGTCATGACATAGCGCTAGACATGTCATAGCGCTCGGGAAACACCGTGGAGGGGAGCTCTTTTCATAGCCGGATGGTACGTGGCAAAAAAAGACCTCTGGAAACGCACTGTGGATGAACGCAATGGCTCCAGGTAGTATGGATGAACTCTACTCCGGTGGCGGGCGGTGTGATGGTAAAAACGAGATGATGGTATCATCTCAAACAATTCCTCAGAGCACTCCCCATGGAACATACGGTACAAAATGCAGTACAAAATACAAAGTGATATTAGTAATAAACTAATAAACTAATATTAGTAAGAGTCTGCAAAGTACCCGTCCACAAATTACACGTATTTTGGATCCGAACAAGTTTGTGTCCCGTTATATTAGTGTGCGGAGAGCGGCAAGGCGGCTGTTTGTAATCCCTGTATCTCATAATATCAGTTAAGAGATCCTCACAACACATCCTCTGTGGGCGGTAATCTTCTTAAACTGTTACTTACACCTCCCCCCTTCTCGGGATCTCCTCCCACTCGCGGCAAGGGGAGGAGAACTCTAACTGGACGGCTTTATGCAGATGTTGTTATATTTATAATTCAACTTTTTATTTTATTTTTTTTAATCTGTAAAACACAAAGGTAAGTATATAATGTGATTTAAATATGACTTGATGTAGGTACTCGTAAGACAGTTAGTAGGTCAAGATGTCGAGATGATGTCGGCGCTGGCAGGTCCCCGCAGCGTGGCGTGGCGTGGCGTGGCGTGCGCGGGTGGGGGCGGGAGGGGGCGGGGCGGGCCGGTGGGCGGACGCTGCTAATTACATTAACGCGTTCTGTTTACTCGACGGCTTACCGATGTACCGCCTGAACCGCTTCGCTGACACAATCCCCGGCCACTGCGCCACGCACTTTACCTACACACGACTAAAGTTTGACTACGTCGCGTCGACTCTTCGGTTTGTTCAGTTGTAATGTTCACTGTTCACAGACTGCATTAATTTTGTTTGGTATAAGTTAATATAAGCCACAAGTCCTGTTACAAATAAAAATGCATTTTCATAAATGAAGTACATAATGCAATATTATTAAAATTTATACCTAGATATTTATTAAATTCTCAGCAAAAAATAAAAAAAATATTCTATTCGAAATGGCCACCTTTGGCTTTTATACAAGGCTTTAATCTCTTCGGCTTCGAATGTATGGATTTACGTGCTGTTTCCAAGAGAAATTTCGCCACTGTTTACTCCAAAGATTTTTTAAGAGACTCAATGTCGCAGTGGTGTTTAGAACAGGCAGTGTCCTGTAAAACTGACCATAATTTTAAGTCTAAAGGGTTGAAGTCTGGGCTAGATGAGGGCCAGTCTTCAACTCTTATAAAGTTTGGAACGTTGGTTTCAAGTGAGGCTTGGGTAGTTCGTGCCTTGTGACCAGGTGCAGAGTCCTGCTGGAAAGTCCACGGTCTATTTTAAAAAAGTGTACCTATTGCT